TATATTGTAATTTTAATAATTTTTTATTTCTACTATTTATTAATTTTTTTCTTTTTTAATATTTTATAATATTATTGAAATCTTATAATTTTAATCTCTATAATTTTATCTTATTTTTTATTTTATAAATATAATTTGAATTATTTATTTTATAATTAAATTAATTTTTTTTAAATTTTTTTATAAATTTACATTAAAAAAAATTTATATTGAAACCTCTCTATCTTTGAGGGTAGGTAACAATTCCCATACATTATTGAAAGGTTTTAAGTCTAAGTCAAGCAATATATAAATTTTAGGCGATCGATCATGTAAAGATAAAAATTCACAAATGTAATTTTTTATAATCTAGTAAATGACATTAAGAAGGTGATTACTATTTACTAATATAGGTTCTGATAACAGAGTCAAAGTAGGCCATGCAATGACCAATGAGAGAGGAAGAATCAATGGTTGGCACAACCCTCTAGAATTTCCCCAAATCGTTTTAGACCTTAAAATAATCTTTGACTTCTCAAACCGAAATTCCTAAACTGGGTTAAACGAAAACAAAATGCACTAGTATCATCCCAATAAAACATGCCCATGAAAAGAAAAATACAGCAAGGAGGGTGATTCAACTTTGGAAAAACTCTTGCAAACGTAAGTAAAATTTGGAACTCCCCATTACCACAAAAGAGATAAATTCATATACTTTGCTCAGTTACATTAACTTGCACGCTGAGAACATATATTTTCATTGAAATAATGATTAGTCAAAAATTAGATTGATAAACAACACACTCTTCCACATGTCTCGATCCGAAAGAGACCACTTAACTCGTACACTGTTACTTGCACACATTGAGACAAAAACATTTACTACTTATCTCTTAGTTCGGAGATAATAATAATTAACAAACAGGCTTGCAATCATTTACCATCTCCGTCATTCTGCACAAAGCTAAATGCACTTTTTCCACGAGAATAAAATAAAGTGAAAGATAGCTAGAGCATAGAGAGAATCATCGAGTGCCCTCCAACTTCAAAACACGGAAAAAGATTCAACAGTACTGAGACAGTGAGACTAGTACTAAGTAACTTGAGAACAGCAAATAAACAACTAACAAGTATATATACCCGAATCCCTATCCATAATTCTCTTTCCAAAAATTTCCTCCATTAATCAAAAACACACTTTTTTCTACACATAATAAATAAAAAAAGTTCCAATTAATATCATTAAACTATCATTTATGAATTAATCGCGAAAAAATCCGTGAGCAAATTGAACCTAGAAAAGCTTCAGAGAGAGATAAGAAAACAACACTTACTGTATAGTGGAATTCTTTTATAAAAAAGCCTAGGTTAATTTGGAATTCTTTTAACATTAACTTTAATTTGTAAAATATGTTTTGTAATATATGAACAATAAGTTAATTTTATTTTATGATAATTTTATTTTCCTATGCTAATAATAGTCGGGAAGAAATTTATCTAAAGATGCTTGTAATCAAAGACATGGGAGCTAAAAGATGTCAAGTACGAGAAATTAAAATTATTGTATGCTTCATTAGCATAAAAAAATTTATCGAGATGGAGCGGATGTAAGAGATAATAAGGATTTAGGGGAATAAAAATGAAAGGAGTGGTAAGTAAGTTAATTAGTGAAAATGTTATTACTAATGCTAAGCATAATTAAAATTAATAATTATTGCGAAGGGTAGACAAAGAGTTACTTAATCGATTATATGATGAGCAATATAAGATGCAAACATAATCGAATATTACAGAGAAGTACTACAAGCAGGCGGCGGTGGTGAAGGGATGCTGCGGCGGGAGGTCGGGCTCGGGCCAGGGCGGGAGGTCGGAGGTCCACCACCTGCTGCTGCCGCCACCGTGGAGGAGGAGGAGCTCCGGCAGCTCAATCTCGCGCCAGAAGTCGTCGGCGGCGTCGTCGGGGGAAATGGAGGTTTCGGGGGGGGCGGCGGCGGAGGCCATCATCATGTGGGCGGCCTTGGCGGCGGCGGCCTGGATGTCGCGGGCGGTGCAGGCGGAGGGGAGCGGCGGGAGGCGGTGGACCTCGTCGGGGAAGTTGAGCTGCGCCTTGCGGCCCTTGAGGCAGTAGGCGGCGACGTCGTAGGCCTTGGCGGCCATCTCCGGC